CCTGTCACTACCCAGGAGAGTGGAGCTGGGGACAGACCCCCTCTCGGCGTCCCATCCCGGTCTCCCTTGCAGCTCTCCTGCTGGGGTGGGATGTGACCGCCGCCTCCCCTGCAGGGCAAGTTTGTGGAGCTGGGCATCTCCAACTATGCCGCCTGGGAGGTGGCTGAGATCTGCACCCTCTGCAAGAGCAATGGCTGGATCATGCCCACGGTGTACCAGGTGAGGGCCAGGCTGCATAGGCCTCCATCTCAGGGCGCCTGCTCATCCCGGCATTCCTGGGCCACTCCTGCTGCCCCTGTGCCATCCACATGGCAGCCCCTCCCCTACTCACAGCCTGCAGGTGGCTCCCAGGTGGCCGCAGGGTCATGTGCAAGCTCCTCAGCCTGGCCAGCAGGCATCTGCTCGCTCCAGCCCGGACTCCTCTTCCCACCTGCATGGGCCCCTTGTGTGTCTCTCCTGCTTCCTCACCCTGCACCTCAGCCTGGAGCACTGCCCCCTCGTCCCCTGGCAGAAGTGCTCAGGCTCACTGGATGCTTCTCTCCCTCTTGAAGCCTTCCCCACCCCATTGGAGCCTGTCATGTCAGGCTCTGCTTGTCTCCTGCTCATTCGTTCAGCACATGCTCGGGCAGCTGCTTGGAGCCAGGCACTGGTCACAGAACCTAGCAGTGTGTCGTCATTGCCTCTGTTCTCGAGGATCCCTGTCTACGCTCTACCTCACTATTAAATCCTCAGCGTAGGGGCCTTGTGTTTTGGGCTCCTGGTTAGAAGTCCGATGTCCAGCCTGTCATCGGTGCTCAGAAATGTTGGCTGAATGAATGAATTTTCCTTGGGCACTAGCCCCCTCCCCCACCACCACTAAGTATGTGCCCTGATTGTCAATATCCTGGGATTGTTAGGGTCTGACCTGAGGTTCTCCAAGGAGCAATTTGGGGTCCCACCTCTGGGCATGGGCACCCACTCCACCTGGTCCTTATACATGCAGGGCTTGTACAACGCCCTCACCCGACGGGTGGAGACGGAGCTCTTCCCCTGCCTGAGGCACTTTGGACTGAGGTTCTACGCCTACAACCCTCTGGCTGGTACGGGCTGCAGTGGGGCAGGCTCCCCTGGGGGAGGGCGTTCCTGGCCCTGTCCTGTGTCTGCCTACTCCTGACCGGAAATCCAGGTCCAGGACCTGGGAAGCAGGGCGGGTGTGACCAGAGGCTGGGCTGTCTTCCATCCCTCCGGGGTCTCCCACCATCCCCCCCCAGTCCAGAGCAGCCTCTGGGTGCAGTGCGGGCCACCGGGTCTGATTGCAGCCTTTCCGCAGGGGGCCTGCTGACCGGCAAGTACAAGTATGAGGACAAGGACGGGAAACAGCCTGCGGGCCGCTTCTTTGGGTATAAGTGGGCTGAGTTCTACAGGAATCGGTGAGCTGGGGGTCTGCATCAGTGCAGGAGGTTACCTGGGTCCCCTTAGCATGACATAGGGAGCCCCTGGGGCTGCTTTCTTGGGGCCCCTGCATTCCTATCTGTTTGACTGAGGCCCCTTCCCCTCCCTGAATATTCTGTGTGTCTCTGGGAGGGATTAGGGGCCTCGATTGGGAATGTGGAGCCTGGGCCTTGTGCCAGGTCTGCAAGCCTGTGTCTCTCCCTGGGAAGACTCCCCCTGCCCACAGCGGGAGGGGACCTTGGATTGGAACCTGGGAACCCTGGGTCATGCTACCACCCCACAACTAGGTGGCCCTGTCTCCTTGGGCCAAGGAGTCTTAGTTTTGTAAACTCTTGGCAATAAAATTGTCCTCAGTGTCGAAAGGGATAGGCGAGCTGCCCTGGAAACAGCGTTCCTCCTTCTTTTTCACTTTCTAAATTCTGAAAAGTTTATCAAAGTAACACAGTGCTTGTTCCCAGGGAATAGCCTCCTTTCCACATGGCGCTCCTCAGAGGGACGATTCTAGATTCTTACAGCTTTCTTCCCTCTGGCATCTTCTCTCTAATAGAGGAGAGCAACAAACCAGGCTTCATGCGAGAGACTCGATGCGAGTTAGTGGAAATGGCTGCGGGCTTTTGAAGCGGTGGAGTGTTTGATATTTGGAGTCTCTGTGTGTGCACAGCTGTGATTTAAATCCTCATCCAGCCCCCACATCCCCCAAGAGTTTCTGGGAACAGCAGCCAGGTTTAGGGACCGTCACTCTAAGCAGTGTTTCTCCAGGAGCTTTCACACCACCAGGGCCTGGGCCTCACGCTGGAGGATCCAGGCTGATGGTTTCCACCTTGTCTGCTCGTCAGTTTATAAAGCATCATCAGGTCCATTATCTCCTCTATGAGTCGCATTCAGTTTCTGGGGCTGGCATGGCATGTGTCCTTTCCTCACTGAGCAGGTCAGAAAGTGAAGGCAGGTGGCTCAGCCGAGGCCAGAGCCAGGACTGGTCGAGGGTCCAGTCTGTGACCGGGGCTCACAGATGTGGTGCTGTAGCTGCTCCTGGGTCCTGATTCAGGAGTCGCGCTGTTCACATCTGGTGAGCACGATAAGTGTAAGGGTTCTTGCCCATGGCATCCCCTCTACTCCCACCACCGGACTGCAAAACAACAGCCTGATGAAGGGCCCAGAAAGCCACCTGCATTCTGCCAAGCAAGGCAGTGAAACCTCCACGAGGAGACGCTGCCCCTCAGTCCCCAGGTGGCTCCCTGGACTGGCCCCATGGTACTGACCCGTGTCCCCCTCCCCATCTACGCAGCTACTGGAAGGAACCCCACTTCCAGGCCATCGCCATGATGGAGAAGGCCCTGCAGGCTGCTTATGGACCCAGCGCCCCCAGCATGACCTCGGCCGTCCTCAGGTGGATGTACCACCACTCCCAGCTCCAGGTAAGCCCATCGTCCCTGCAGGCTCGGCTCCCGCCGTTCCCTTTTGGAGGGTGGAGGGGGACTGGAAGCAAGGAGAGGCTCCTAATTATTGGGGGACTTCTGAGATTACTCCTTTTCCTCCTCTGCACTTTCCCCATGGCATAGGTCACTGGGTGGAAATCCTGTTCCTAGAGAAGGTTCTTAAGTGCCACATTAGACACATTCTTGCTCCTATTAAGTGTGGTTATCCCACTTCTACATTTGAGGCCACTCGCTCACAGACACTTCTTCCGTTAGCCAAGTCCCTCGGCTGCCTGTGGTAGGGCGTGAGCACAGCTGTGACTCTGAACCCTGCATGCTGTTGTCCACTGGCATTAGTTCTGTCCCTGGCTATCCACTCTGTGCCCCTGATGGGGATGCCCCCTCTCCCTGCCGCCCCATGGTTCCCTGACCCCTTCGTCTGGCCCGCACATCATATACCAATGGCTGCCCTTTCTTGAGCACCTGTTAAGTGCCCGGCCTGAACCAAAGGACTTCACCAAATTCTAATTCCTGGAATCACCCTGCACAGTAAAGAAGTCTGGAGCTCAGAGAGCTCAAGTAAGCAAGCCATGTCTACCCAGCTGCCAAGAGGCTGAGGAGAGTAGCTCTAACTCAGGTCTGTCTGCTGATGACACTTTTTGGCACAGTTTAGAGCTGTTTGAAGGCAATATAAGTTCTTTCTGGAACAATAGAGGGCAAAAGCAGACATCAGATCCCTACTCTTGGCAGGGGCATAGCTGGCATGGCAAGTGTGTTTCTGGAGTCTCTGTGCATTAGTGTCCTGACCCCTGGCCGTGCCCCTTTGCAGGGTGCTCACGGGGACGCGGTCATCCTGGGCATGTCCAACCTGGAGCAGTTGGCACAGAACTTGGCAGCGGCTGAGGAGGGGCCCCTGGAGCCGGCCGTCGTGCAGGCCTTCGATGAGGCCTGGAACCTGGTTGCTGAGGAATCTCCCAATTACTTCATATACTTCTGAGTTGAGGTGCCCCAGGGCACCCTCTGCCTGTCACCTCTTTCGTCCTCTCGCCCTGGCCAGTTCTGGCATTAAGCAATTTAGCCTCGTCTTTCCGCATCATCCCTGTTCACGAGCTGTCTACTGCCTATATTCTTGCAATCCTCACAGTTGCCCTCCCATGTGAAAAGGCAGGGGCTGCGATCTACTTGTTTCCTGTGTGAATAAAGCAGCCTCTCTACCTGGCCGCAGCCCCAGCCCAGAGGGAAAGTGGTGATTTGTTTCCTCTGCTGCCCGCAGCCCGTCGCCTGTCTTTCCCGAGGGCTTGGGGAGAAGGGGGCAGGAGTGGACTCATCTTCAAAGGGCAGAGGCAGTGGGTGGGGCCTCCCCAGCCTCCTGTCCTGAAGCCAGCCTGATCCTGACAGCAGGGCTGCTGGTGGCCCTCACTCTCCTACACATGACAGAGAAAGGGGGCCACACAAGCACTGCGACGTGGATCTTCTCTCCTTCAGAAACGCCCTCACTGAACATTTACAAACAGATCAGCTAGGGCAGAAACCTACCAGCAGAGTCAGCACCGAGAATAAAACCTCCCAGGGGGCTGGCCCCGTGGCCGAGTGGTTAAGTTCGTGCGCTCCACCGCAGGTGGCCCAGTGTTTCATTGGTTCGAATTCTGGGCGCGGACATGGCACTGCTCATCACACCACGCCGAGGCATCGTCCCACATGCCACAAGTAGAAGGACCCACAATGAAGAATATACAATTATGTACTGAGGGGCATTGGGGAGAAAAAGGAACAAAAAAAAAGAAGAAAACCTCCCAGGACGCTGGGTGACATTTTCAACACACACTCTCCACTTCAGCGGTGGCTTCGCTCTTGTCTCAGCAGAAGCCTCCTGTCTTCTAGTCCCCTGTGACCCTCAGCCCTGGCTTAGGAGTGTGTGCGTGTGCACGTGAGTAGGGCAGCCAAGTGCAGCCAGGGGGCCTGTTCTCAGCAAATCCCCATTTCCGGCAAGGGGCACCGAGGGCCAGAAGGGAGAAGGCCCAGCCCTGCTGGCTGCTCTCATGTCCCCAGAGCTGCATGGCCGATGTGGACATGCGGGAGCCAGTGCTGGAAGCTGGCTGTGAGGTGAACAGTGGGAACCCTGGGAATCCAAAGAAAAGGCCAAACCCAAAGGCCTTGTTTTTGAGGGACATCGCTTTTGCTGTCTACAGGGAGACACCCTGGTGACAGTTTTATTCTTTATAGAACAACAGTCTGTCCCTATCGCCCTCCCTTGTCTTGATCCACAGCAAAATGACTGCTGTCCCCCGGGAAGGGCGGCGGTCCCGGGGTCCAGGCGACATGACGCTTGGATTGGCTGGGAGCCCCTTGGTCCCCAGTCCCATCAGCCGTCATCTTCTTCCTCTGATTCTTCTTCTGACTCGGACGCGCTCTCTGGCAACTCATCTCCCATCTGTTGGAGCCTTCCAGACTGTGCATCCCACATGTATTTGATGGTCACCTTGAATTCGGCCATCTCATACCCAAAAAGCTTCTGCGAGAGACAAAGGGCAGCAAGAGTCAGGAGGAGCGTGGGTGACCAGAAGTGTCTGGGGCCCCGCCTGCACAGCCTGCAGATGCCTGGAGGGGCCGACTCACCAGGACACGGGCCTGCTCTGGGGTCAGCACGTCGCCCTCCTTGCACACCTCGTGGTCAGACAGCAGGGTCACCACACCTGCAGAGAAGGGAGCCCCAAGCAGTTAGTTCTGACACAGAGCTTCCTGCCGGCTGCCCAGAGCTGGGAGGAACCTGGCTGGCCACCCCTCCCCCAACTCCAGTACACGCCAGGGTAGGGACCCGTCAGCACCTCAGCTGCCGGGAGGGTCTTCAGGGCAGGGACTGCCTCCCTCCTGCCCCGCAGTGCTGTGTTCTGGCTCCAAGTCACCATCCACTTTGCCCCCAGCTGTGAGGTGGGCACTCCCAGCCCCATTTTCCCATGAGAGAAAGGAGGCTGGCAGAAACAACCTGCTCAGCCAGGGAGGGGAGAGCAGCCTGTGGGCTTGGAAGCCTGTGCTCCTGGCCTCTAAGCTGTAACCCTTCAGCTCCAGGGACTTCCCCATACCTCTCTGGAGGGCAGTGGGCAGGCCCAGCTGCCTCAGCTGTGGCTCCATGGAGTGGGGGAACTGCTCCAGGGGCCCCGGCTCCAGGCTCACAGTGAAAGTTGCTTTGTTCCCAGCTCGGGCATAGTCCATCTCTGTGTATTTCGTGAACCACCTGAGGGGGAAGAGAAGTGGTAGGAGGGGAGGCTTTTGACTGGCCCACTAGCCCCCTGAAGTCAGGCTCCCCCTGGGCCTTGCCTCGGCCCCCTCCCAGTCCACCTCCGCTGCTGGCCGGCAGCCAGCCTGGAGCACCGTCCTAGAGAGTAGAGACGCAGTAACAGGGGTCTAGGAACAGGTTTTTCCTTGATGCCTCCACTGTATAAAGTCTCGGGATTATTCCTTTCCTGGAATCCTCACCACTCCTCAAAACACTTACTCGTTCACTTCCTCCTTAGTGCGATTGGTGAAAAGGAGACCAACTTCCCCCCTCAACTTCTTGCTGACCTAGGAAACGAAAGCAGGGTGGGCTCGGTCACAGAGCAGTGGGTCTCAACTGGGGACAATTTTGCACCCCTTCGCAGGGAACATCTGGCAACATCTGTAGATATTTTTGGTTGTCACAGCTGGGAAGGGTACTACTGTGTGTATGGAGGTTAAAGGACAACCAGAGCCTTAAGCCAGGTGTCGCCCTCCCTGATCCCGCGCGCCCTGGCCCCAGCCCCTCCTGTAAGCGCCAGCCTCACTTGGTGCAGGTTGTCTTTGTACTCGTCAGACGGGCTTCGACCCAAGGCCACCATCATCACTTTGTTTTTGCCAAAGAACATCCTACAGAGAAAAAGAGAGGTCCATGAATGGAGTGCCCTGCCTGGCCCTCCTTGCATTTAATGGGAACCAGCTCCAGTCCTCGGAGCCAGAGCCCAGGCCCAGCTGTTGTAGCAGGAGGCGTGGCCTGAGTCTCCCACTTCTTCCTCACATCCCTGCCCGCTCTCTGTCCCCAGCCCAGGGTCCCTTTCATTATTTTTCCTCCCCACAGACCTCGACATTCACAATATTTTGTCTAGCAGCCCCACTGTCACTGTTATGTGAGCCTGCCCCCCTCCCCGCCCCATCTGGATGTGCAGAAGAGGCACATTTAATGGTCTGAACCAGAGCTGACCCAGCAAGAGACGACCAGAGTTACCACCAGCACTGTCATAAATCCAGCCCAAGGATAGGTACTTGCCACATGGCTCGTGCAGCCTGTTCTCAAGTCATTGTGTGCATCCCATAGCACATATAGTCATGTGTCACTTAACAATGGGGATATGTTTTGAGAAATGCGTCATTAGGCGCATTGTGTTGTTGTGTCAACACCTTAGAGTGTACTTACACATACTTAGATGGTATAGCCTACTACACACCTGGGCTACATGGTACTAATCTTACGGGATCAGCGTCACATCCGGGGTCTGTTGCTGACTGAAAAGTTGTTACGCAGCGCATGAGTGCACTGACATTCTAAAACTGAGATGTTCCTAAAAGGATCAGACCCCAGGGTCAAGGGAGCCTCTTCTGGAGGGATCACTGCTCAGACATTCCCTGAGCAATTACCAAGTCCTATCCCCCAAGGAGCTCAGTGCAACACCAGCTTTAACAGTTAATAAGTGTCCCTCAGTGGGAGTGGCATTTTGTCCTTATTAAGGTACCAGGTACCTAAGGGTCAATACCTGCCCCATATTTGAGAGCAGCCTGGCCTCTTCCCACTCCAAAGGGCCCTCGTCCCACTGACTGCTCACCGGCTGTGCTTCCAGGCGTTCCGGATGTCCTTCAGTTTGCTGTTCCTCATGTTGGCCACAGAGAAGATGAAAAGGTACTTGTACGTGTCCACACATTTCCGAAGCTGCGGGACAATTCATGAGGCTCTGGAGTTCAAGGCGCAGGACGAGTTGGGCAATACTCTGGCCCCAGATGGGAAAGAATCTGCTCTAAATTCTACAACTGTGGAAGTCTGGAGCTGCAGGCCTCTACTGTGGCTGTCTCCTCCTCACCTCCACCACTGAAGCCAGGATCACTAAGGACCGGCTCCCCTGAGGCAAAGCAGGTGTGACTCCAAAGTGCAGGGCAAGCTGAGCCATGGGTCAAGATCCCAGTCCTCCCAAATTTCTGACTTATCTGTGGCCAACAGTGGAATCTGCCACCTCTCTTTGCCTTGTGTGTTAGTTGTTGACAACCTGGAAGTACTCAGTTATACTAGGAAGGCTCCCGCTACACGGAAACACAGAAAGCCGTTATTTACTCATAAGGGGAGGCAGCTCATTGGCCCTGCTCTGCCCCCGTTGCTGGGTGCGGCCATGATAAGGTGGTCTCAAGAAAACAGAATCTTTGTGCAGGAGAAGATGCTGCTCCCACCCAGCCCGCAGCCCGAAGCAGTGCAGACAGCGGGTTGGTGCATTTACCTGTAACTGGCAACTCCCCAGCTTTCTGACACTGGGCAGGCTAACTGAGCTCTGTGAGCTTCAGCTACCCACCTGCACAACAGCGATAACGTCACCTCCCATCTACCCCATGGGGATGCTGTGAGGATGGAGTGGAATGACACATGTGAAACTCTCAGCACAGAGCAGGACACAGAGTAAGAGCTCAATCAAAACTGGGACTCGCTGCTGTGGGAGGTTTTGCTGATGCTGCTGCTAGAGGAAAAAGGCCTGGATTGGCAGCTGGTGTTTTTTTAACAGTACGTTTCCCTGACAGGCAGCCCTACACCCACCTTTATAAACCAAACACAAGGTCTGGGAAAATAAAAAGAACAAGCTCTTACCTCTTCTATCAGGTTCTGCTTCAGTTCCAAGCCTTTCTTGGCAGTTTTGGTTAAGGAAACTAATACAAAGAAGAAAAAGGAGAGATGATGAGAGACAAACCTGGATGCCCTGGGGACTTTTTCTTCTATCCTTAGGTAGCTCAGCTGGCCCAAGCCAGTCTGAGGAAAGGCGCCACTATTCTGGCATGCAAGGCTATTCCCAGGGTCCTCAGAGTGCCTACTCTCCAGTGTTCCTGAGCCTGGAGATCCCTTGATATTTTCTGTTGCTTAGACAAACTAGGTGCTCCTTAGCATTCTTAGGCTAACCTAAAAACCCCTCCTGATGTGTGGGGACGGGACTTGTTCCTGCTTTTGGAGTGCTTTCAGTGGCACACCTAGCTTGCTGGCCGACTCAGTCCCTTTCTGCTCTTGGCCAAGGTGCACAGAGACCATCTCTGGCTGGCCTCTGCATGGAATGATGAGTCTGGGGACTGTATCTCCTCTGCCACACCTTGTTTTGCAGTTTGGACCCACAGGTGCAGCAGTGCCTCTCTGGGGGGAGACAAACACCTTTACTGGGGCCCAATTTTGTCCTTTACCCAGAGGGGTTTGGCATTTGCCAAATCTGACCAGTACTCCCCCCACAGAACCCAGTCATTCCACACTAAACACAGCATCAAATGCAAAGCCCTGGGTGCCCCTAGGAGGGGGCCACCTCTTATTCATCCTGATTGGCACTCACAGTGCCTCTTCACAAGGCACACATGCATTACACACAGAAAGGTAATCACACCAGTCAGGGGCAAGTGCAGCACAGGAGGGAAAACAAAATACAGCTCTCCATGGCCCATCATTTCCACAGCTACAAGTGAGGACCAAGTCAGCATCGTGCTCTCTTGGATTACTGCTGGTCTCACTACTTCCATCCTTGCCCACTGCTCCTACCTTCCCCAGCCTATTCTCAACATGACAACTAGAGCTACTTTTACTTTTAAAAGTAAACTTAAACCACATCATTCCTCTGCTCAGGCTCTCTCATCCTGTTTCACCTGGGCGTGAAAATCAATTCCTTGCAAAGGCTTTTAAAGCCTGCCCACTCGGCCCAATTCTTCTCCCTTCTTTTTGCTCACCCTGCTCCAGCCACACTGGCTTCTTGTCCCACAACGTATCAAACATGCTCCTGTTTCAGGACCTCTGGCTCATGTGTTACCCTCATCAGAGAGACCTTCTCTGGCCACATTATATAAAATACTATCACCTCTTCCTCTCACTTTTTCTCCATGGGACTTATCATTATCCGACTTCATTTATTCGACTTTTCGTATTTTGGGGGGATATATTTCCCATGACTAAAATATTAAGCTCAATGAGTGTTCTAGGCCTTCCTTGTTGTAACTGTTGCTTCCTCCAACGCCTAAAGTGTGTCAGGCCCCTAAATATTTGTTGAGTGAATCTGCTAGAGAGCCGAGGTGAGAGGGAAGCCACCACAGTAAAAGGTAATCAGGAATGCTTCCTTAGGAAGTGCCCTATGAACGAAATGACAACTGAGAAAGAGCCAGCTATGCGAAGATCAGAGCAGAAGCACTCCAGTCAGAAGGAACTGCAAGTAAAAACAGCCAGAGAACAAGCCTGTGCTGAAGGAAAGGCAAGGCGGCCAGGGTGGAGGGAGCCCAGAAAGCTGAGAAAAGGCTGAGGTCGGAGGGGTGGACCAGAACGAGATCGGGCGCAGCTTGGGCGTTCAGAGGCTGTTTCCCGGCTCAGTTGGCTCTGGAAGAGCTCTGGATGCCGGGCAAAGCAGTCTCCGCTCCCTTGACCCGACCAGCCTCCAGCCCCCGCCGGTGCTCCCGCCGCCCGGAAGGCCCCATCCCAGCTCGCAGCGAGCCCACGGAGCTCCTTGCGGAGGTCCCGGCGTCCCATTCTGTCCTTTCGAAGCCCCCACCGCAGCTGACAACCAGCCAGTGGCACTCCCCACCGGGTCCCAAAGTCCCCTTCGCCAACCTTTCTTGTCGCGCTTGGATTTGGGCATCGCTCTGCAGCCACGTGCAGCGGAAGCCGGGGCAGCCTGTTAGGACCCCGACGGCGCGGGGGCCTCTGGGATGGCCCTCGGGGGCTGCCCTCGCGCGTGCCTGACTCAATCTGCGCTGCGGCCCGCCGCCTGCGCTCTTCTCCGGGTCTCCAGGGCGACTTCCCGCGCGTCCGGGGAACTCCGAGTCCTGAGCTCCTCACCCAGGGACTCGCGTGCGGTCCCAACTCTACGCTTCTGCGGAGGCGGAGCCTGCGGCGCGGTGCACGCCGGGACGGCGGCGGGCGGGGCTGGGCTTCCATCATGGCGGCTGCGGCAGCTTCCCGGCTGTGGCTGTGGGCTACCCTGCTTGTCCCTGCAGCCGCGGTCTACGAAGACCAAGTGGGCAAATTTGATTGGTGCGTAGGTGTGGGGCCTCTTCGGGAAGTATGTGGCTATTTTCCCAGTACCTGTCTTCTGTCTGCTCACGGCGGGGGGTTATCTTACGGCAGAACTGGCTCCAGAACTTGAGGGGCCCAGTGCAGAATAAAAATGTGGGATCCCTGGTTCAAAAATTAAGAGTTTTAAGATGGCGACAGCAGAGCATGCAACCAAGCGTTGGGGGGTCTTCTAAGCCGGTCCCTGTGTGACTGTACAGGTTGCAAGCTGGTGCAGGCGGCCCTGCCATTCAGGCACGCTCCGGGGTCTGGTCAGAGGTCGCTGTTCCCGCCTCCCCCGTCGGGCCCCGTTTCTGTGACCGTCAGGTTTCTGAGCCAGTGTGTGTCAGAGGTCGACAGCCTTCAGTGAGCTCTCATCCCTCCTCGAATTGGCATCTCTTGGGCATGTGCACAGGACCTTGGGCTTTATGAAGTCCTAAATTGAGTCGTCTCCCCTCCCTTCCAACTCAGGGCCATCCACGACTCACATCATCCCGGAGGTGGCGTTCATTCATTCATTCACCCACTCTCTCACTTACCCAGCCCTTCCTTTAGGCCCTGGAATTGACTTGCTTTTGTTTGAATCTAAATTTTGCCACTTAAAGGTTTTGTAATCTTGGGAATTGACTTAGCCGCTTTGTGCCTGTTTCTTCATCTGTGAAATGGGTTTACAAATAGTTCACTACTGCCTACAGTAGTTGTAAGAATGAATGAGATAATTCCTTTAGATTACTTAGCACAACACCTGGCTCCTTGAGTGCAATCAGTAATCGTTATTATTATTACTAATCAGGGAACACTTTATTCTTCAGAGCCCAGCTGAGCTATCTTCTCCTCTCTGAAGTCTTTTGTGTCTCAGACAAATTGATTCACATATTTGTTGAGTGCCTGTGGTGGGCCAGATATTCTAGGTGTTGTGGATACAGAGATGGGAAGGAGCTCAGTCCAGTGGGGCAGACGTATAAGTATGTGATATAAGACAACGTGACAAATGCAATGTAAGTCACATTTTTAATGATGTGGGCAAATGATATAATATGTATATATTACACGTGTGCAAAACATATGGTATTCCAATTTAGCGGAATACTGGGTATATGCAATTTACAATGGAAAAATAAATAGAAGGAAATACACCAAAACATTAAAAAGGTTATGCTGGTGGTATTTTAGGCATTTTTGATTTCCTTTTTTTATACTTTTATATATTTTTCATGTTTTCTACACTGAGCAGGCATTACTTTTATAGTCCAGATAGAAAACAGCGGTATTTTCAAAGAGAGCATGAGATTTAGAGTGAGGTCTTAGTTTTGTGTTCTGGTTCTGACAGTAGTTGGTTGACCTCAATGGAACTTCATTTACTTCCCTGTAAGATGAGAGTAATAATATTTGTTTTACATACTTCAGCGTGTTCAGTGGATACGGTGTGAAAGGATGTGAAAATGCAGGTAGAAACTGTCAAATGTCGTGTGGGCTTGTCTCTCTACCACTGGCTTAGTTTTTTCTTTTTTAGAAAAGTAGACCAAACAGTATCATGACAAGAGAAATTCAGTGTAAATGTCATGCGTGTTGAATTTGTTAGAGATTGAGGTATTTCTTAACTAAAAATAATGTGCAAGTACCTCCTGTGTACTTGATAGTATGCCATGCAAAGCTATTATGTTCCCTTTATGCTTAGATAAGACTGTTGAAAGTGATGGGATATATTCCAAGGAAGATATGAATAATGAGTCAAATAGATCCCAAACATGGTGTGAGCTAGAAAAGGCTGTAGAGAATAAAAGACCTGACCCAATCTATGGAGTTTTGTTGGGAAATTTGCATGATTTTTTCTCCAGAGGTCAGTGAAAGTAGAAGGGAAATTTGTGTTGTATGCTCATCGAGAACAGGGTTTGTGGCTCTTCTCTCATGTGTAACATGAGTGTCCAGTCCCACAACTAATGAATGCAGAGAGGACTGTAATGTTCTTGTAGGATTTAGCCCATGTGGTCTTTTGGGTGTCACTTAAGCCAAACATGTGCTTGTAGTTAGAAGGAAGACTGTTGCGTTTCTCATCTATTGGGGTGTACTCTCTCTTCTTGTTCCCTTTGCTTCTGACTACGTTGCATAGAAATCTTGCTTTTGGTCAGATTTGTTTGTTAACAAACATTTCTAATACAATGGTGATAACCTCATGTATTTGTGCAGTTGCCTTTTTCCAAAGCATTGTGTGCAGTGATGGTTGGGGCCTCTTTTTTTTTTTAAGATTGGCACCTGAGCTAACAACTGTTGCCAATCTTTTTTTTTTTTTTTTCCTGCTTTATATCCCCAAATCCCCCTGGTACGTAGTTGTATATCTTAGTTGCAAGTCCTTCTAGTTGTGGCACGTGGGACACCACCTCAACGTGGCCTAATGTTCGGTGCCATGTCCGTGCCCAGGATCCGAACCAGTGAAACCCTATGCCGCTGCAGCGGAGCGTGCGAACTTAACCACTCGGCCATGCGGCCGGCCCCTGGGCCTCTTACGTTTATTTCCCTGTTCTCTTTTCCTCAGGAGACAGCAGTATGTTGGGAAGCTCAAGTTTGCCTCCTTGGAGTTTTCTCCTGGATCCAAGAAGTTGGTTGTGGCCACAGAGAAGAATGTGATTGCAGCATTAAATTCTCGGACTGGAGAGATCTGTGAGTGAACTGTGTAGACGTTAGTTTGGGCTAGAATGGCTGACCATAGTGGATCCAGAAGGCGTGTGGCTTGTGACAGCTACTAGCTGATTCCCAGATTAGGGACAAGTCGGCCAAAAGATGGATCTCTTACTGGATTCTGATACCTTTAATTTCTTTTTCTGTCTTGTCATCTTTGAATATTTAAGATATTCCTATAACTGGCCGTTGTAGTTCATTCCCTCAGTCCAGGTCCTGAGTATTCTTAAATAAGATACTGCTGCAAAAACGCCTTAACCTATTTTGCAGTTAAGATTTGGATACTCTCCTTAAATTGCTTATACTGCTTTTATGTATGTTTTCAGGCACTAAAGTCATGGAAATATAATTTACAATCACTATTTTTTTATCACTGTTTTTTTAATTTTGTACATCATATGGATTTTGTTAGTCTTGTTATTGTCCATTTGTGCGTTTGATGGTAGTGGGTGGGGGCAGGAAGCGCCGGGACCTCAGACTGCTGCAGTAGTGGCTCCTCTCAACCCCGCCTCCCCTCATTACTCAGTGAGTGGGAGTGGGTCATTGCCAGTTAGCTGTAATCCTTCCCTCCCTTGAAATAAAGTTGGACGCTGCTATGCAAATGCAGACCCCTTCAGTTCTCCCCTACTCGTCATCTTGGGTACCTCTCTCCGGTTCATAGTAACATCTGACTCTCGCGTCTCTCAGTGTGGCGCCATGTTGACAAGGGCACGGCAGAGGGGGCTGTGGACGCCATGCTGCTCTACGGACAGGGTGAGTGGAGTCTGGCTCTGTCTCTATTGTGATGTTTGCTCTGTCTCCCTGTGTCTTGGTTCCTTCCTTTTTACAGGGTCTGGTAGGGAAAGGAGAAGGGGTGTTCCCAACAGGAAGGGACGGGTATGCAGATAGCTTCTCTTTGCACTCATGCATCAGAGGTGAGGCACTGCTCCCAGGCCCTAGGAGGCTCAGCTGATGAGTTTGGGAGATGCCTCCACCGTGGTCTTTTCTCTTCTAGACGCAATCACTGTGTCCAACGGAGGCCGGATCATGCGTTCCTGGGAGACTAACATCGGGGGCCTGAACTGGGAGATTACCTTGGACAGTGGCAGGTAGAGGGGAAGAAGCTGTATTTCATCTTGGCTTGGTTCCAGGCTTTGGTGGAACACAGATCTGCATGGACAGCAACTCCAGGCCTTTTGGCTTTTCTCTCAGGGATGCCTACAGAGCCAAAAGCACCAGATTCTCATCTTTTGCTGTTCTTGAGGTTATGGAACACGTGCGTTTACTCAGCCAGCACTTATTTTGCACCTGTTAGATGCAGAGCTCTCTGTGAGGGGCAGCATTTATTCTTTACTTGAATGCTTGTCCTAATCTTACATGAATTGAGACCTTTGCAGTGTTCTAGGTATAACAATATAATATGAAACTTCCAGGGTTTTAATTTTATGTTTAGTGAACAGCTTGAGCTACTGTTCCATCTTTACTAAAGTTGTTTAAATTGTAGGATTGTTAGCATTATCTTACTCGTAATTCATTTGGTAAATGCTTGGTGAGCCCCCAGGCAGTGGGAACACACATGTGGACGTGAGAGAGTTTCTGTCATCCCGGAACTCATTGTCAGTTGGGGGAGGCAGACATGTAGACCAGTCACGACAGTACTGTCTGATGGGTGCCATGGTAGAGGGTTGGCCTGGTTGCTGTGAAGTCCTAGGGGAAGGGAGGAGCACTCCTTAGGAGATTCAGGGCGTTTTAGGGAAGCAGTGTAGCTGAGTGGTTGAATGTGTAGTCTCTCAAGTCAGCTAACTAGAGGCAGAGCCGGGGTTAGGATCCAGATGTGTTTGACCTAAAGCCTGTATTTCGTATCTACCAAGCTATATGGCAGTGGTCTGGATTGTCTCCTCTAGCCTGAGGCTTTGGGAGTGCTGGGCAGTGCTCACTCTGTATGTGTGCTCAGTTTCCAGGCACTCGGGCTGGTGGGTCTGCAGGAGTCAGTGAGGTACATTGCGGTCCTGAAGAAGACCACTCTTGCCCTCCATCACCTCTCCAGTGGGCATCTCAAGTGGGTGGAACATCTCCCAGAAAGGTGAGGCTGCCTTCCCACCAGGTGCCAGCCTCCTGGTCCCCCTCTATAAGC